CCCTAATGCTTGGATCTAGGTTTCTCTATTGTACATGCATTCATCCAAGACTATAAACCCTAGATCTAGCATGTGATAATCAATATTAACATATGAATTAGGGTTTAGATCATACCTTGATTGTTATGTAGCAATAACAATCTCAAATCCTCCTTGTAATGGCTTTAGAAAGCTTAGAGTCACAAGTGTCACTCCTCTAATGGCTCACAAACACCAAGAGCAAGAGGATGAAGAATGAAGAGAGAGGAGGCTGCCCAAAACGTCCAGAAACCCTAGTGGAATTCTTAGCCACGTTTTTGGGGCTTAAGGGTACTATATATACATGTAGGCTATTAGGGTTTTCAACTAGGAAACCCTAATCTGACTGCTTAAGCCCTAAGCAGCCCATGGACCCTTTTAGAATATCCCTTGGGCGATTTCTAATGGGTTTCTCCATAGAATTCGTCCAATCTATTATTCCAAAGTGATCCATAGCCCAAATGCAATTATCTTATAATTACAGTTCCAGTCCCTTAAGTTTAATTAATCTCTTTTAGCCACAAAATTAATTATCAATTAATTCTTGACTAATATTAATTAAACAATATGATTTCTCCTTTAATATATTATTCTCATAATATATTAATAAATCATAATTAATCATTTCTCTCCATAATTCATCCTATCAAGTTGCTTTGGTGAAGGCAACCCAAAAGGACCATGCACCATCGGGTCAAGTACATACCAAAATAGTTATGGACTTAGACACTAATCCAACAGCTCACTAAGCCCTCGGGCTTACAGTTTTCAGTTTATTGTTTCAGGTACTTCAGGAGATCGTGGAAAGGCGAAGGCGTGACCGTACCGCTCCTCATCCTTATGTTATGATTTTGGGACACTCTGATGGATATTGATTTGAAAACATTTTGCAAACAATACTATTTGCCTTTTATTTGTGATTTAAAAAGTTTGAATTTCGCGTGAATTTTTTGGACGTTACATTTACGGTATGCCTCCCATACCTGATTGTCCTGATCCTATTGTTGAACCCGAACCATTTCATAGTTTAGGTCCAAATGATGATATGTTTGTTCGTCAAACGTATGATAACAAACAACAACTAATATTTGCTTTGAGTCTTAAAGCTACTAGAGAAAAGTTTAAGTTTAAGACCAAACATTCTAACAAAAATCGTTATGAGGTATATTGTGAAATTGAGAACTGTAGTTGGCGTTTATATGCAAAACGCATTGTTCCCACTGATGAATTTGAAATCAGGAGTTTCAACAACGTGCACACATGTTCGTCATTACAGATACACCCTAATCATAAGCATGCTAATAAAAAAGTCATGGATACTATATTGCATGAGATTATGGGAAAAACTCGTTCCAAGGTTTGGAGGCCTAATGAAATATCAAGGGATTTGAATGCTTTGCTGGAAATTAATGTAAATTACAAACAAGCTTGGCGTGCAAAACAATATGCTATGGAATTGTTGTTGGGATCCTCTGAAGAATGTTTTTCCAAACTTCCTATTTATTTTCACAATTTGAAGAGGCATAATCCCGGTACAGTGGCCTATATACGAACAGATTCTGAAGATTGTTTCGAGTGTTGTTTTTATGCCATTGGGAGCACGGTAAATACAAAAACTTGTTATTTAATATATAATTATTTGTAAGAAATTGTAGAGTGTTTATGTGTTCCATTTTAATATATTGCAGGTACGAGCGTTCAAACGTTTTTGTCGTAAAGTTATAATTATGGATGGTGCGCAATTGAAGGGTGATTTTAAGGGAACCATATTGCATGCAGTAGCTATGGATGGGAACAACCAGATAGTGCCCCTTGCGCACAGAATATGCAAAAAAGAGAGTGGTCTTACTTGGACATGGTTTCTTGAAAAGTTGTATGAATGTGTTGGTGATTGTCAAGAATTGACTTTTGTAACTGATTGGGCCGATGCAATTCGGGTTAGTATTGAAAATGTTTTCCCTCAAGCTCATCATGGCGTGTGTGCTTTTCATCTACTAGGAAACATAGTACACAAGTTTGGGAAAAACGACAAAACAAAAGTGTTGTTTTGGAGGCTTGTGAAAGCTTACAAAAGAAATGTTTTTGAAGAATTGTGGTCTAGATTTAGTTCTACTTGGCCGCAAGTAGCAACGTATCTAAGTGAAATTCCGCGTGCTAAATGGACTAGAGCATATTCCCCGTCGAAACGGTACGATTACATGACCTCCAACAGTGCAGAGTCCATGAACGCTTTATCTGTAGATGCAAGGAAGATGCCTATAATACCCCTTCTTGAGTTCTTCCGTCGTCTTTCTCATGAATGGTGTAACAAGCGTCGCATCGATGGAGGTATGAAATTAATTTAGACTTTAATTATCTCTAATAATAATTTAATTATATATATATTCTTTACAGGGAAACGTTCAACAGTGCTAACCGAGTGGGCTGAAAAAGTAGTTAGTAAAAATGAAGAGCGTACGACAGGATGGTCCGTTTCTGGTGTTTCAGATGCAATATATCAAGTGCATGATTTCAAACATGGTGGCATAGTTGATATGAGGCAAGAGACTTGTACATGCAAATATTGGGAAGGAACTGGGTTGCCTTGTGGTAATGTCATAATGGTCTTAAAGCACTTGCAAAAAAACTAACTTCGGACATTTGGTTATAGATGCTTACAAAATGGAAACGTACCGGAGTACGTATGAGGAGCCGGTTTACCCCCTTCCAGAACCGTGTGATTGGGAGATTCCTTCTGAGATGATGGTTGTTAAACCCCCGATAATGGATACACATCAAGCTGGTAGACCAAGAAACAGAAATCGTATCCTGTCACAAGGTGAGGAACCTATAGTAAGAAGATGTAGTAGATGTGATAGTACAACACATAATGCAGCGACTTGTCCGGCATTGGTCCCAATGAAACCAAAAAAGGCTAGAACAAATAGTGCGCCATCATATAGTAACACAAAAGGGAAAGGGAAAGGGACACAAATGACTCAGGAGACGGTAGAGACGCACGGGACACAAGAGACGCGCTGGACGAGTGGGACGCAGAGAGAAGACTATTGTTCAACGTTTGATTTGAATGATTGATGGTGTATTTATTATTAATTATGTTTTGTTTTATAGGATATTAATTTGTGTACTTTGAAATGGTTTGTTTATTTTAAAGATGATTGATAATATTATGATTATCAATTTATGTTTTATTTTAGAGGATATTAATTTATGTTTTGTTTTAGAATACTAACTAAAAATCGAAGATAATACATTCAACAAACCAGAAACATATAGCAAACGTACAACAACAATAATTAACTTAAGGGAATTGCACACGTACAACAACAGTAATTAACTTAAGGGAATTGCAAAGGATACTTTTCTTTCTCCATTGTTATGTAGTCGTCCCTAATTCGTATTTTATCTTCCATACGGTCCTTTTGCCTCCCAGGTTCTATCATTTTCGCATCCTTGCCAGCTAGCCATTTTTCAGACAGTTTGATATTCTTCTTACTGTTTTTATCCAATCCCCATGATCTTTGATTTCTTTTTTATTATTCGCCATCCTTTCCTCAACCTCTTTGCACTCCGCCGCAATGAGGTCACGACGTTCGGTGAGAGCTCGAGATGACGCTTTATCTTTTTTTTTTGTTCTTCAGCCCATTGTAGTTGATGCAAAGTATCCTCAGACATATACCTGTCTCTTAAATTTGGTGATGGGGCAAGAAAAGGGTCGATCGGATCACAATAGAAACAATCAACTTCGTTGCACGAGCAAATATACAAACTTGAAGATGAACTCATTTGTAAATTTATAAAATATTTATAACTCTATACCAAAAATCCAACGACCATCCATGACTATATATAGTCCCTTCAACTCCGCAGAGAGGTGTTTGTCAGTCCGCAGAGTTGTTTGTCAGTCCGCAGAACTGTATTGTCAGTCCGCAATAATGTTTGTCAGTCAGCAGAGTTGTTTGTCTAGTCGTTGTCATCCATACTATACCACATTTTTGCCTAATCCTACAACCATCCGAGTGGATAAATCTTTTATGAATCACCTTAAGTGCATAAGGCGTTACTGACTTGTCAGTCCGCGTAGAGAAACTTTTTATGTATATTAAACGTTGTCAGTCCGCGTTACTGACTTGTCAGTCCGAGTTACTTACTTGTCAGTCCACGTTACTGACTTGTCAGTCCGCGTAGAGAAACTTTTTATATATATTAAACGTAGTATCTTACGAAATTCAAATCTTTAATTGATAATAGAGATAAATTTACAAAATGGCGTCCAATGTACCAAGTTCTTCGAATGCAGCAAATCCATCTAATGCAGCCTCTCCAACAAATGGTACATCTCCATGGACGACAACAGAGTTGTTGGTCCTAACACAATGCTGGATTACCATTTACGAGGGTCTACCAGTAGTGGCTCCCCCTCATTGCCTTGTAGGTGATGAATGGTCCCGCCTAATAGCTTTTTTCAACTATCAGGTCGGACAAGGACAAGAACGACTAAAACCTGATATTGTTAGATGGATTTAAAGTTTAAAGTCACATGGTTCAGTCGATGCTACAATCATGAGAAAATGCGACGCTCTCAAGCAGATGATGAAGAACTTCTTGAAGACGTGAATGGATATTACTTGTGCGAGTTTGATGGAACTGATTTCGAGTATACGGACGTTTGGAATCTGGTAAAAGATAAACCTTTTTTCATGTAGACGACTGTTTTATTTCCAATGTTTTATGTAATGTTTGTTAGTCGTAAGAAACCTTTTTCATGTAGACGACTCTTTTGTAATGTTTTTATGTTATTTGTAATGTTTATTTTGTTTGATTGTATGGTTTCGTAACATTTGTTGCTGAATTATGTTTAAAAATAAAAGATAATTAGCAGATTACATACTAGCAGAAGTGACTACATTACATACTAGAAACAAGTATTTGATATTAATATATATATACAAAGTTCCTAATATCAACTTATATAGTTAGGCCTATATAGTATCCCAAATAACATTTGTCATCTTATTTATGTAGAGAAATCCCGCATCTCTACGTGCCGTAGAAATCTTCACTGGTACCCCCGAAACAATCATTTCCATAAACATGCATACAAATACTCTACAATCCCCTCTGTCAAGACTATATTCTTGTTGTGGCACGTCTACAACATCAACAAACTCCAGCTTTGCTTTGTCTTTGTGTCCAACGGGGAAATGGTTCCAGTACTCAATGACATCTAACTCTGAGATAATACTATCTCCAAAACTTGTGAATTCTCCACCAGTTAAGTACTTTGAGAAGTAACCCGCAATTCGTGCTGAATCATAAATTTCTACTTTCCAGGTATCTAAATGTAGCACTGCCATAAACCAATGGGCACTAATAACATTTATTACGAATAGAACCTGCAAAAAATAATATAAATTAAATACTCGTAATTTCAGTAATATTATATTTATAAAATAATAATTATTAAAGTTAACTAACCATATCCACATCATTCCTTTTAGGACAACCTCCAAAACCATTTGCTACATTCCTTAAAAATAATGATTTTCCGGGTTCCAAATTGATTTCTTGTGGAAATATCGTCCACCTAGCGTTCGCCGGCCGCCTTTCCATCAGCAAGGAACTCCATATCGCAATATGTTGTACATTTTAAGATAAAAATGTTAGAATTATTTATATAAATTCTAGTCTAAAAAAATAGTTAAAATTTTAATTAAAGGAATGTTACCGAAGAAAGTAACCACCCTTTGTCAGTAACAGAAAGTAACCTCGACCAAAAATCCATATCTAGTGGGAGAATATGCAGCCTATGTTTAGTGATGAGTTTGGAAGAGAGCACACTCCATTCTTTCCAAAAACTCATCGGACTATTAGTATAAATACTGTCCAACAAGAGATGGTTTGAAACGTCACTACTCTCTGCATTGACAATGTCCTCATTTGTTTTTTTAGGACTCTCCTCTATTTTTTTCTTCCTTGTCTTGCTGATTTTCTTCAATTTTGCTGTCGATTGCATCTAAAAAAATCAACATGTTTAATCATTATCAATAATGTAATATTTTAGAAATATACCAAATTTAAAATATGAGTTTTTTACCACTGTGAACGGAGTCCGCTGATACCATGCAACAACCCTCTTTCGTTGCGGCCTACCAATAGGAGTCACTATTTTTGTGTAATGTTCACCCACGTCTTGTGACGGCTCACCATGCGTCGGTGTAGGCTTCACATTCTCCTCCAAACCACCATAGTCGAACTGTGTATCATGGTAATATGGTTCTTCATCCTCTTCATTTATCATCTCCTCCTCCTCCTCTACAAACCTTTTTGTTTGGCTCATCTTTTTCATGTAATACACGATCTACTTTAGATGATAACTCAGCCACAACGCCTAGTAGACGCTTCACTAATGCCTTTGTGCTACTCTTCTTCTTCTTTACGACCCTCGTTGATGTGTCGCTTGACGTATAAGTTGTTTCTATTTCAGGATGTTGCGAGGAAGAAGCATTTGTGGCAGATTCAGTCGAACATGTATCCGACTTGTACATAGTTCTTCGAGGAGGCGAGGCAACAACAGGTGGACTATTTCGGACCGGACTATGTTGCGGTGGAGGAGACTCTTCATGGTTAAGAGTCCAATTGACGTAGCGAACATAAAACGGCAACATCAGCTCCGTCCCGTTTGCCACGACTGGAATAGGTTCGTTGTTAGGCTACAAAAATTAAAATCAAATTGTTAGTTTAAAATGAAAATACGTTGGAATTTGTAAGTATAAATAATCCTTAATATAAAAAGCATACCACAAGCACGTTGATTATTCGACGACAGTTATCCCAAGATAACGGTGTTTTACTTCTCCACGACCTCATCCGCGGCAATTCTGTCGGGATGCGTACATAAAATTTGGTTGCCTCGGGGAACGTCTCCAAAATCCAGATCTATAGAAAGAAAATTTAAGTATCATGCTATTATATTTTATACTACAAACCGAAGTTCAATGTTATTATCGTATAAAAACAAAACAATGATAAGTAATTAAATTTATTAGAAAATAACCTTAAACGGCAGCATAAAACCAGGAACGGTATACTTGTGTATTTTCTTGGATTCGGGATTGGCCTCCTTGAATTGTCTAAATTCTACTATTTTCTTAAACATTTCACGCATCATCCGCGAAGTATACCTCCAAAAATACGTACCCCATGCAAACCTGCAATTTTCAGATTGTATATTATACTTATTATTATTGTATTCTATTTTTACACAATATTTAAATGTAATACATGTTCCAATCATCTCTATTATCAGCAAACTTGTATATTGCAGCGGGAATGCACGTTTTAACGTCCAGTCCGTGGAGTCCCTTCAACACAAAAACAAGCTGGATAAGCATCACAACATCTTCATCTTGAACTGCCAAATATTTTGGAGACATAATGAAGTCTTCCAAATCTTTCAACCGCATACGCGCATCAGAAATGTCTGGGAACAACCGAGCACAAAGACTTGAATTTGACCGGCCTTTTTCATCGTGGAGTAAATCCACATAAGGACCAACTTTTAAACCACAAATGAGAATATATTCCGTTTCACCAAAATCCAAATGCGTCCCTTGTACATAAAAAAAAACCTCCCCATTTCAAATACTTCTTGAGACCTTACTTCGTGCAACATCATCAAATGCACAAGTAACGGATCACCATGTGGGATATGCATTCCTAAGAATATTCCAAACGGCGAAGCTTCGAATAATTGTCGTTGTGATTGTGTTAGTCGCAGAAAATAGTCTTTAATGATAGTACCCACCACACCTTTTAAAGTTAAATCCGCTTTTTGATTGAGATCTAAGTGTTGCAAAACATAAGATTTAATTTAATTTAATATAAAAGGACATAAAAAAAATTAGGAAATTATGTTTAAGGTCATTCCGCGGAGGCTATAGGTCATTCCGCGGAGAAGCCTCTGCGGATAGACCAACACCTCCGCGGAGTCTCGCTTTTAATATATTCCGTGGAGAAAATGCTTCACTCCGCGAAGGGTCCTCTGCGGGCTGATATAACCCTCCGCGGAGTGACATACACCTCCGCGGAATGGATCATCACCATTTCCAGAACCCACCTGTCAAACTCCATTTTTTGCTATCTAAATTTTTTAATTTTGCCTATTTATTCAGTGTAATATAATCGGTTTTCAACAAATTTCATACATATACTACATTAATCCAAAGAAAGGAATGTGAGAAATACCCGGGAGCCTAAACCGTCGCTCAAAATATTGGGGAGATTGTCCTCTATTACTGCCGGAATGACAGTTCGTAATCGAAGTCGTGGTCGCCGGTTTGGACGTCGGAAAATGACGTCGTTTGCTGTCGTGGTCGCCGGGTTGCTGTCGGTGTCGCCAGAATCTTTGGTGGTAAGTCGATGCGGAAAACCGTCTTTGTCAAAGAGGAATCGGGGGACCAGTGGGGGGACCAAAGAGGAGGGCCCGATTTTGTCAAAAAGAAGATGGGCAAATGACAAAAATACCCCTCTCCGCGGAGGTAAAATCGATCCGCAGAGGTCCGCAGAGGGTCCTCCGCAGAATGCGTGTCTATAAGTGGAAAAGTCATTTTTTATGACTAAATTTTAAAATTGACCCCTTTATTTTGTCTATTAACGGTATTTTCCCACCGTCAAATCTAACATTCATTGAAATCTAACATTCATTGGACCCAACGTGTAAAGTCACGACCCAACCGAAATTTCAACTAATGGTTTCGCTCAAATCTTGTTTTTAAATATAAATTATAAATGTAAGTTTATTATTAAATAATATAAACTCATTTGATGATGGAACCACACGACCCCACATGGGTTATGTCACCGATAGTTCTCTTTAAATGGCACACAATGCAAAACCTCCCTTCCTTAAAAAGAAAAACCCTCCATGGCTTCATCTGACTGGTTTCAACCACCCTCATATTCGCCGACCTTTGTGGCATCAATGGAACCAAACCAGGACCAAGCCCTGCAGGTCCGTTGCCCCCGATGCGACTCCACTGAAACCAAGTTCTGTTACTACAACAACTACTCTCTTTCCCAGCCACGTTACTTCTGCAGGTCATGTAGACGCTACTGGACCAAAGGTGGCACCCTCCGAAACATCCCCGTCGGCGGAGTCTGCCGGAAAAACAAGAAACTTTCTTCAATTTCCAGGAAACCCGACACCACCGACCACCGCCGCCAAACCCCAGATGTGAACGGAAATGAGAACACTAGTCTTCAACTTTCGTATCCAGAATCTCCGGCTAAGTTCACGGAGGGTGGAGGCGTTGGTGGAGAGTATGAGGGTGATGGACCTTTTCCGGCAATGGTTGCAAGCGGTGCGGATACGGTTAATACCCATGGGCTGAGTCTATTTGGAGAAATGGAGCATTCTGAGAACATGAGGAATGAGGTTGATGCGAAGCGTAGTAGGGTCTTCGCGTTTGAATGGCAAGAACAAATGGATTGTCATTCGGATCTTTATGGTTCAGGTGAAGGGAGAAACGGGTCGTTTGGCTATTAATGGGTCTTGGTTCACATGAGACCGTTTCATAAACGGATAGGTCGATAAAATGATGGTAATGATATATATAATATATATGTATGATTTTCAGAAGCTTTTGGTCCAAATATTAATGGTTAGGTTTCTGTAATTCGGATTTTATTTTCCTTTTTCTAGTATTATGTAAAATTTTATTATTTTCTTGATTTCTCTCTCTTTGCTGGGTGAACGTTGGTTTGAACTTTTGATGGCATTGAAGGTAGTCATAAAATACATATCGGTAGTCATAAAATACAATATTGTTAGTCAAAAATAACAAAACATCTATTTTTTTCTATGTTCAATTTTCATGTTAGTTTTGGGTTAAATATTTCTGATAAATACAATTTTTTTTAGTATTAAGAATATCAGTGACGCCCTAAGGTTATGGTCAATTTGGAACAATAACTGAGAAACCACTTGCATACTATATCTTATAATTTGATCGTGTGTGTGTGTGTTGGGGGGGGGGGGGGGGGGGGGGGGGGGGGGGTGGTTAATGAGGGATGTTATGTACTTATGTTTTTGTCGACTCCAAAAGGAAGATAACGGGCAAATGGGCAAATGCATGTTTTGGCAAAAAGGATGGAAAGCATAAAAGGACGGAAAGGGGTGACTTTGTGAGTTGGAATATGTGCTATAAAAAAATGCATAAATTGGGAACCTACTTATGTTCAATTCCTCTTTTAGGTATAAAAAGAAAAAGAAGAAGAAGAAGAATTATACAAAATAACAAATTACTCCTACTTTGTTCCATTCCAAACAATGTGTTTTGTTTTCTCTTACAATTTGTTCCATTCCAAACAATGTGTTTTCGTTTTCTCTTACAAAATAATAACGTACAATAATCAAAGATAAATTGTCCAAAATGAAAGAAATACGTTCATATTTCAGTTTTTAGCGGAGATGTATTTTTAAAAAATAATTACCTAGTAAGGGTAATTTAAAATTTATTTATAAATTAATTGTAGTTTTTATCTAAAATGATAAGAAAAAGTGTATAAAAGCACTAACATTATATAAACAAAAATTATATAGCAAAAAGAGAACAATGAGCAACATGAACACAAATAAGTTTTCTTTCGTTTTGATATCTTATCACAACAAAATTTATATAACAAACAATATATATGTAAAAAAATACACAACTAGTTTTTTCCCTTTTGTTACGCATACATCTATATTCTTTGGATCATTGGATGCTACGATATATATATATATATATATATCTATATATATATATATATATATATATATATATATATATATATATATATATATATATATATATATATATATATAGAGAGAGAGAGAGAGAGAGAGAGTATTTGGCTAAATTTTTTCCAAACCAACATGACTTTATGTCAATAATAGTTGAAAAAATAAAACAAAAAACATAAATTTACACACACATATATATATATATATATATATATATATATATATATATATATATATATATATATATGGTAATGTTATTTTGTTTTAGGTAACTATTGTATGCATGTAAGGAGAATTCTGGACCTATAGATGAAAATAATGAATGACTATGATTTTGAGAGTCTATCATATTATAATGGAATATCATGTATCATAATATCAGTCAAATTTAATTGAAAGGGTATTTTAGACAATTAACTATATTTAAAAAAGAAAATTTTCGAATTTGAAAGGATAATTCTGTTTTTTTTAAGTTAATTAAATTTCATTTTTAATTTAATTTTTAATCATAACCGATTATAACTTATTTTATTATGTCAGAATGCGATTCTATTAGAATGAAATTCTGTTTAAATGACATTCTGTTAGAATAACAGTTTATGACATCCTTTAAGAATACATAAATAATAAGAAAACATGAATATGTACATTATGAAACAATATACAAAATCGATTCTTGAACTAATAATATATCAAATAATTATATTCTATGATTGTGATACAAAAAGAACATTCTTGAATAATAACAACATTCTGAAAGAATAACAAGTGCAATTTTTAAAAAACAACAACATTCTTAAACTGTGAGTATGATCAATCTTTGATTCATTCTTCACGTTATTCATATAAGGTCTTCAAGTCATTCCTATCATAAATGCAACAAAAACATCAAATCCAACAAAAAACACTAATTCATTCTGAAAGAATAATGTTGCTAAGATTCATTTTATACATTCTGGCTGAATAAATTCTACTATAAGACACTCTTGTTTTTCATATTTTCCTTTTTTTCCACATGAATGACAAACTCTTCAAAACCTAAAAAGAGAAAAGAAAAACATTAAAATCTAACAAAAACACTAAACCATTCTAAAATAATATTTTCGATAAGATTTGTTTTATAAATTTTGGCAGAATACATAAAATACATTCTGCTAGAATACAAACATTCTGAAAGAATGAATTTATATAAATAAATTCTGACCGAATGGTTTTGAATAGTTATCAGTAGACATCATGTTTATGGAATAACTAATGATAAGCAAAGTCAAAATAGAGAAATATAAAGACCTCATTAGGCCAACACCAGACCAGATTAACAAACTTACATATTCTAATTCCCAAATGGGTATAAATACTTATTAATGGACATCATGTGCAAATGGATGGATGAAATATTTGATTCAAGCATTTTAATAAACAGTTGGCGGGCAATAATGAGATGCCTTCTGAATTTTAGAAATCACAGTAAAAAGAATGGTGACGCCGATTTATCGATTGTTGATTTCAAACTTTAGCAACGATTAGACATAAAATAAATACTTAATTTTAGAAATTACAAAGGATTAGGGTTATGGTGAGAAAAAATAAACCTGAAACAAGCAACAAAAGATGCAGAGATAAGCCTCGCCATACGAACTGTTCAATTGAACATGGATGTTTGAAACTACAAAAAAAAACAATGTTTTTATATTAGGGTTTTGATCGATAAAAAAAATCTTAAATCTGGAAAAAAAAGGCAATTATCGCAATTTATTTTGGGACTTTATACCTATGAATAAACAAAACAACCATAAAAACGAGGATGAAATAATTAGGTTACCTAGATGATGATGATGATGATGATGATGGTAGGCGATGGGTTGCTGATCAGATCCTTTGGTTGTATAAGGTCGTTGTGATGGTTTTGATGTACATGGGTTGTTACAGAGGTGGTGCGGGAATGCAAGACGAAACTGAAAGCTTTAATTTCGAGGTGGTGATGGTCGGCTGGTAGATGAGCGACAAGTTGCCAATTGAGGTGAGGCTACAGATATTTTAGGCCGATCGTTAGAAGATAAAGACGGGAGAAGACTAGGTTTTAGGAAGTTAATGAATTACCATGATTAAATGAGGGTAATTTTGGAAACATAAATGAATTTTACCAAATTAGCCTTATTTATTTAGTTAAAAGTTTAATTTTTCTAAAATTCATATTGGTTCTCTAATGCACACAATAGTGAGAAACATTTGAATCTATATATATATAATGAAACCAATAAAATAAAAAGTAAAAGTCAGATTCATGAATCAGAAACATCAAAAACAGAAATTCAGAAATAGAGAAAACTAACTCCATCCCAATTATTCAATTCAGGAGGAACACAGTAATTGCTTGAAAATTGAAAATCAAATCCAAATAGAAATAGAAATAAAAAGCAAATAAATTGGACATTGCAAAGAACTTTATGGCGTCAACATGTTTGTAATCCAAAATTAAACCACCAAATTGAAACAAAATGGAAAACCCACCAATCATTGCAATTGTTTTAATCAAAATATATGCAAAAAGCAAGCCGATCAAAACCCAATTACACATAGAAGAAACGTACAATAATCAAAACCCAATTCAAGATTTTTACTCTAGAAAGTCGAATGGGGGATGGTAAAAGAACGTTCAATGGATTTTTAAATTATTCGTTTGGATTAACTCAAAAGTAATTAAAGTCGAACTCATATTAGGGTTCGTGATGATGTACCTTGGGGAAGAAACCACGGCTGAGGATCAATCTGAATCGTTGTTCTCTATGTCCGATTTTAAGATGTTGGCGGCGAAGGAAGTTGTTAGTCTTGTAATTACTTATTCTGTGTTCGTGGGAAGTATCATGAAATTCTTCTTGGAGAGGAGGCAAATATGCAAAAAAATTGAAGAATTGATGGGTTAATGGAATTTCTTTAGGGATGCGACGATCGGCCAGAAATTCAATCGATATATTTGTTTTAATGCGTCGTTCAGTCGTGGGTTACGTGGAAGCAATGGAACCCCTTGAATTTGTTTTAGAAGGAACGAGAATTAAAGGGCTTTTATATATATATATATATATATATATATATATATATATATATATATATATATATATATATATACTAGGTATCTTTCGAGGCCCGTGCTAAGCACGACCCATGGAGGATAATTTCGGAATTTTTGAACTATTGCCAAAGTATATATTAACCAAAAAAGTTTAAATACATTGATTTCAGGCTGAGATTTTAATGTAAAATGTAGGAATAAAAAACATAAAATGGAAGTTTCTTATGATCAACAATTAAATAGAAGTTGCATATCACTTATTTTTGCATGACATTCTTTTCAACATATGTAGGTATGAACATTGTGTATTACTTCCGTCAGTTGTTAAGTTTTTTTAATTAAAGAAAATGTTTACTCAAATTTGGCTTGTTGAGTTAAATTTGTGGTATTTTGTTATGTGATGAATAGTTATATTTGTTTTAGACTTAATCACTTAAGTGTAAGAACTTTTTTTTGAAATTATTTTGATAATTGTCATTGGATGAGTATGGACTCTTTATTATTACATGAGGGTTTTTTTTATTTATCTTTTTGTTTAATTCTTTATATATGAGGTGCATGTTTTAAATGGACATAATAAAATGGATTACAAATTCATATATAAGGAAGGTGATAGGTTATCAGTGTGGATATATATTGTTGGTTGTGGACTAATCTGAGATTTAACATAAGTCATATATGACAAATTAGGGTTGTAATAAATCGAATGAATCATTGCGGTTAGCTGGAATTTGATATAAGCATGTTTCATCGTTGCTTTTTATTATTAATTGACATTTCCTTTGTTGTATGCTACTCATATAAGATGAATTTATTGTATAAGGTTTGTTTCTCATAGTGTACAATAGTATTAGTATATGTTTTTTGTTTTTGGTTGTGTCATGTTTGTTTAATCTCAACTATTTTGGGTATTTCCTGCACTAAACTTTGAAGAATTTTAAGTACATTTCTATTATTATTGGAGAACAAAGTATGTCTCCATTAATGGTAAAGAGATATTTGTACATTGCTATTACAGTTAAGAAAATGAAATTACATTGCTATTACTGGTACTCTATTAATACTTGGATATTATTTTGACATTGAAATTCAAGAGAAAAAAGACACAGAAGTTCTACAACTTCTACAACCCATAACTAAAGGCTTACAAATTGGAAAGAGATGAGAATAATACTATAACTTAGCCTACTCTTTTTTCCAGAAAGTTTCCAAGATCTTGGTTTTACAACATCATGGTGAAAGAAAATCATATCGGGGCTATGAGTAGCAGTATACATGTTAGATACCATCCATCAGTTCCACATCATTATTTACAACATCATGGTTCTGCATACAAAAAATTCTCCCAATCAGATACAATATTGTCTTTAAAAAATATGTTGCCATCGTAAACATAAAAGTAACCTGGTGGCTTCCTAAAGCTTAAGCAGGTGAAATAGTAATAAATTCATTAACGTTAAAAGTGTAACTTGGTGGGTAAAGGTTAAATAGCAATTCACTTATGGGAAAAGTATAACCTGGTGTTTGAGATACTTTACACCTCCGGACATCAAAATGTAACCTCATGGCTTCCTAATGATTTAATTATATCTACCTATGTTAGCTAATAATATTAAACAAGGAAAAACGCAATAAGAAACAAAGCACTTTTGGGCAAAATACATCTAACACTCAAAATTGTTTGAATTTTTGTGTTTACCTGATGTTTGAGATAAATTGTGCTATTTTCAATATTGGATTTGATGCGACATTTTTGTTCCATTGTTAAATATTTTTGTGATCATAGTTATAATTAGCTCCAAAATTCTTTTTTGTATAATCATTAAGAATGATATGCGAAAGACAATGAAGGTTCAATGTAGAAAAAGATTAATAACTCTATAATGAATGTAAAAGCACAATAGTATGAAATTTTAAAAATGAAGGTAGACTTCCATTAAATTTTACCTGTAATGTGGAGATAATGGTCTTTTTTTTTATTCTTTTGGCATACCTAGAATGATTGTAGCATGCTGAAAGGAATTTACCAACTAATATAATTCAGATCTTTTATAATCTATAGTTGTAATGGGCCTATCAACATATAGGAGGGAAAAACCTTTAAGAAATTAATGGAAGCAGGAAAGGGACATTAGGCTAACCTCTGTTGAAGAATCCGGGAGGGTGAATAAATCCTCATTCAGATAAATTGGCGTAATTGCTGCCTCCGAAATTAGTGTTAGGGTTTTTTATGGATGATCTGATCGGTGTACTCTATTCAAGAAATTGGGAAGATCAATCAAAGCATCAAGCGAACATAGATGAATTGGCGATTTGCTGTATGTAAAATTAGGTTTTTTGGTGGATGATTGGTGTTCTTGTGGGGAAAAAATCGAGAGTTACGGTTAGAGTAGGATGGGAATCGTTGAGCGGGTGCGTCTGTGCCTGGAGAATATGAAACGTTGCAGGAGAGGGAAAGAAGAGATATGCGGTCAGTTGCGTCGTTCAGGAGGTGTGTTACGTGGCGTGAAAGAAACCCTGTAAATCTAATTTAGGAGGTCTGTTATAAAAAAGGTTTTTATATATATATATATATATATATATATATATATATATACTAGAAAACTTTGTAGTGTGCTAAGCACGACCCAAAAAAAGGTAATTTGTGTATATTTGTTAAGGTGTCTAAAGTATGTTATGCTAAAAACGAAAAAGGTTAAAGTACAATGCTACAATATATTGCTTGAATCATCTAGAGTCTAGACCAGCCATCTGAGCAGAAAAGATGAACTCTAGGTTTGTTAACTTGAGCATCTTCGCCTGTTAAGAATCATGAGAAAATGAATTAATTTGGAAAATATGTTTTGCTCGATTTATAGATATACAAGCTATAATACAAAGTTTATTCATTGCAAAATTAGTATGCATTTTGTTATAGAAAAGCAAACACCAACCATTCTTTTCATTGCATTAACACAAATATGTTGCGTAAAAAACATAATAGAAAACTTTGGCATCAAAGAACTTATAAAATATCTTAAAGTATATTAGAGCTAACAATATACATATACTTTATGGTGTTTTATAAGGTATGTAATGTCGATTTTTTCTCAAATGATTGTTTAAGAGCATCATTGAGTTTGACATTAATTTTGCCTTTTTATAACAAAAAACATGCATAATATATCATTTTGCATTGAATACAGTAAGATTGAGTTTCATGGGAAATAATATTTTTCTTAAAAAACCAAAAGTACTATTAGTTGCATCAGTCCAATTAACATGACCCTTCTGTAAATCAGTTTCATGTGAAAGAAAGAATGAAACAGTAATTATTAAGTGAATAATCAAGAAAATGGCAAACTTTGTAAAGATTAACTTACTTAATAACCAAACTTAAGCAAGAAATCCCTATCTTCTACTGATATCTAGAAGCTTTTTTTTTTGACATTAACATACACATATCATTTTTTGAAAAGTAGAAATCATATCATTTACATGAATGGGTGGTTTTTCATAATTATGGAAATATAAATACAAATAGTTTCCAAAATTGATCATTTTTGAAAAGAAAAGGGCATAAACTGTAAATAGATTGAATTTTCCCCTTGAATCTCATATAAAGCATGTTTCCCTTTTCAACCTCTACGGACAAAAAATTGTCATTCTTCAATAATAACGGTGTAAAATTTCCCATATTGGTAAAGGAGTCAAAGTGGTGGCCATTAGTCCATTATAGACAATTTGTAACGTGAAAACAAACAAATAACAACACATTTACCTGTTTATACTTATATAGGTACCAACTCACATTCTTTACCAATATGGACAACTTGCAATCTGAAACCAATAAAAATAGCAACATATTTATCTGTTTTAACCAATATAGGCAACCTAACTCACTATCTAATCACAATAGCAGCCAATTTACATTTTCTTTTACTGATGTGGACAGCTTGTAACCTAGAAACATACAAAATAATGGTGTGGCATCGTCTGTGGTTCCCATATGGGAGATCCTGTGAAGGACCATAAATGTTGGGATAAGCCTGAATCATTTTCAAAAAAAGATAGATTTTTGCCTTTATGGTCCGACATCACAACATGTCCCAATTATGTTTATTGTATCATATTCAGAATTTTGTAAAATCAAATAGAGAAAGTTCATGAAACTAATGAGAATTAGGTCACACAGGAAAAGAAAAGGAAACAAACCAACGATAACAAACAACCTTCCTTGAAGCCTGTGAAATCAGTAAAAATGTTATTATGACATTAATGCTTAAAATTTTCAATATAAACTTGTCCACTTAGTACTTGCAAAGGAGAAAGATTTCCAGAGTTACAGTAGCATGTTTATGTTCCCTTATTTGTAGGAATCTTTTCCTTGTAGTGCAACCAAGGATGCTTGCTTGGTATTAACTGTAGAAAGTCAATAAGCCTGAATCAGAGTTCTCTACATTGGTATTCACAATTTGATATCCATCGGATAATTTAGGGTTTTAACATCCAATCTTGGATTAATCCTAAACAACAATAACAAAAGTCGAAATTAAAATTAAAATCAAATTAGGGTTATGTAGATATTAATGTGTAATTATACATACCCAAATCGAACATAGGCACCATAAGGAGCGACTTTGAAAGTCTTCATCGCTGTAAATTGATTCAACGATATACTCAAAGCCACTGATCGACACCACTGACGCTTGTTGTTCTCTTCCACCAGAAATTCAAATCAAATAGGCATAGATATTGGTGTTGGAGATTGAAATTGAGAAGAAGAAACTTAAGCATTTAGATCGATTTGACGAATGATGATGCTAACGATGATTAATCGGGAAATGGGTCGTGGTGATGGTATCGATTGAATAAAAAGGATTCAGGCGATCGATGGGGATTAAATAGAGAAAACGGGGACCGGTCCCCGAAAAATAAACCGGTTGACCAAGCTTCACTCTCTGTAGCTCTCGATTTTCACCCTCCATGGGTTAGAATAAAGGTTTGAAATTTATTAGACGAGGATGATGGGTTTCAGCGGAGGGAAACGGTGGAATGGGGCGGTTTCAAATGGCTGAAACATCAAGGTAACGATTCTCCAAAGTGTTGAACATGTGTGTCGGATAGTTTGGAAGAGGGAGAAAGAAAAGCGTTAATCGAAATTATGGAACATTGCGTCTGTCCAAAAATAGATGACGTGGAGTCTATAGAAGGGTGCGATTTTGATTTAGAAGGCACCAGAAAATTAAGGTTTTTATATATAATAATGATATATATATATATATATATATATATTCAAAAAGTATAAATATGCATATATTAATGTGTTTTGAAGGTCTATGATATTACAATGGAATATCATGTACCATAATATCACTCAAATTTAATTAAAATGGTATTTGAGACAATTAACTATATTTTAAAAAAATCGAATTTAAAGGGATAATTCTGATTTTTTTTTAAAAAAAAATTAATTCAATTTCAATTCTAATTTAATTTGTAATCATAACCAATTATAACTTATTTTATTATGTCAGAATGCGATTCTATTAGAATGAAATTCTGTTTAAATGACATTCTGTTAGAATAACAGTTTATGACATCCTTTAAGAATACATAAATAAGAAGAAAACAAGAATAAGTACATTATGAAACAATATACAAAATCGATTTTTGAACTAATAATATATCAAATAATTATATTCTATGATTGTGATACAAAAAGAACATTCTTGAATACAACATTCTGAAAGAATAACAAGTGTAGGGATGAGCAAAGGAACCGACCCGGCTGGAACTGGCCCGAACCGGACCCGACCCGGGAACCGAAGTCGGCCGAAATTAAGAACCGAACCGGACCGTCGGTTCTACCGGTTCCCGGTTCTTGTCGTGTCTTCAATGTTGGAACCGGTCCTCGAGAACTAGCAACATACGGTTCTGGTTCTACCGATTCCTACCGGTTCTCGGTTCCAAAAATCCACAACAATATCGTCCCGGTCCCGGCCCGACCGGTTCCATCGGGTTCCTGTTCCGGCCGGTTCCCCGGTCCATATGCTCATCCCTAAACAAGTGTAATTCTTAAAAAACCACAACATTCTTAAACTGTGAGTATGATCAATCTTTGATTCATTTTTTCACGTCATTCATATAAGGTCTTCAAGCCATTCCTATCACAAATGCAACAAAAACATCAAATCTAACAAAAAACACTAATTCATTCTGAAAGAATAATGTTGCTAAGATTCATTTTATACATTCTGACGGAATACATTCTACTATAAGACACTTTTGTTTTCCATATTTTCTTTCTTTTCCACATGAATGACAAATTCTTAGCACAAATGCAACAAAAACAGTTAGGAATAGCAACAAGACCATTTAATGCAATTTTTGGTAAATTAATAAAATCTTTGAAGTAGAAATTTAAGAAAATTAGTTATTTGCATCAGCGTTTGCAATTGAATTTATTTGTTAATATTAAAAAAAAAATTAACAAAACAATTGATGAGGTATCAAACAGTTATCGAGAAGCGGACAAGAGATTTGCAATTGATAGTATATATTGGAATGCAATTTTGATGAAAAATAATTTTTTAGAATAAAAGATTAAGACATTGGTAAATACTATGTTTTACTAATTAAACAAAATGGCCGGGTACAAAACTCTTATACTTTATGCATCTATAATATAGAAAACAAATTGACAAAGGAAACAAATGTCGTCAATCTCTTCAAATAAAAAGGGGGCATTCCGAGAATCGAACTCGGGACCTCTCGCACCCAAAGCGAGAATCATACCACTAGACCAAATGCCCGGTTATGTATTTTCCTAGTCCTTCATATTTATATTTCTGCATAGATAACTAGATACTACAAACTAATATCCAAGAAAAGAAAAAAAACAAAACAAACAAACAAACAACCAACCAAAACAGCTTTATCTACAATACTTGAAAGTGTAGAAAATACAAACCACAAGATTAACTTGCCCAATCGACAATACTTCTCATATGTGTTACTAAAATTATATAATGCCCAAGAACAAAGGAATGAATTCGGAGCAAAGGCACAAGAATTTTTTTGTAACATCAGTCCCAATGCAATTTCGACATCTGTTCAATGCAATAAAATGTGTGTTGACCATTTTTATTCAAAGCAAAATGTGATAACTTTTTTCCACTAAAGTTTACAATCGATGATATTAGTATTGGTTTATTACATTATTACAGTTAAGAGTAGCGATATGATACAAACAGCCAATGAAAATAGGGTTAGTAGATAAGATAACCAAGCACAAAATAAAACACAATCAAGGGCAAGGGCGTAAATAAATATAAATATGCATAATATAAGGTAATACAAAATTGATGGAATCAAATCAAACAGACATTTGTTCCTATTTTCCAAACTCAAAGTTTGTGTATCCTTACCAAAAAAAGTAATTTCTACAAGTTCATAAATAGTCCTTGTGACATTGACAAAATTTGGTGGTAAAATGCACAAGAACCCAAGACGTATTTAATGATATGATGAAAATTTAAAACTGTGAGTTACTAAGAAAAGTAACCATACATCTAGCACTCTGAAACATCCCATCTAGCTTTTGCCATATACCAGACTGAGCCTCTAGAAGCTTATCTAACTTGGAATGCCGTCTCATTGTTTCACCATGTATCTGCATTGATTAATATCAATCCAATCAACTCCAAATCCAATAGAATTAAAATTTGAAGCATATGCAAAATCACAAAAGTGCAAACCTTCAAGAACAATCGGATGAGAGCCTGTATGAATTCAAAGTTGTTTCCATGTGATACTTGATGTATTAAATACTCAAGTAGCAGTTCAAGGATTAACAGCTCCGGTCTCTTTTCAGGTTCTTGTTCTTCATCATCATCAATAATCTGAAGCATCCTTAGTTCCATATCCAATGTTGAAGGAGAGAAACTTTTCAGATAATCCGTCAACCCCTCAACTGATCGATCACATACAAAAAACAATTGAAAAAAATAAATTCACACATACGAGTATTATTTTGAGATGATGATGTGTGCGCTTTAGTTTAGGGGCAACCTTGTCATTTTGAAACCACGTTTAGGAAGGAGTAATGATAAACTTACAGTTTTTGGTCTCAACGGATGACCGGATATATTGTACAAAGGGAGACGAGGGCAGATTGGTAACTTTATGAAAGTGATCATCCGCTTGTGTTCCCTTTTCTTCATCGGTGGTCTGGTCAGTTGTTGCTACCTTAAACAAAATTTCTCCAGAAAGGGAGGGTATTGAAGGTAAAAAGAATGGGGCTTTCTCAGGTTTTTTTGGAGGCTCAATCGGCTTGTTGCGTTCCTGAAATTTGCAATTTGCAAAACTACTTTTAATCACAATAGCCAAAACAATGAAATATTTAAGTCTGAGTTTTTGAGAGCCAATAATAATAATATGCATATTTGAAGAGTAAAAAAACAAACCTTAATGATGTCCAAATTGATCAAACTTTGCCACTGGCTCTTGGGTAACATTGAAAGGGTAACAAGATCTGGAATTTGTTTATCAAGCAGTTGAGGAGGCTGAGAGTTGGTGAAAGTAGGCGGCTTATTATCTGAACCACCATCATCTTTAGAAACCTCTCCTCCTCCTCCTGAAGAGATGGAAGGCAATTTAACCTTCACCACCTCCTTTCCACTTCCATAAGAATCAATATGTGGGGCCCCAGAAAACATTGCCTGGTTTACCCTGATAACACACACAACAATACAGATTTCAACTTTTTTTTATTAACATCCCAATCATGAAGCATATGTCACTGCTAAAATTGGCCAAATTATGAAGTTTGAGGTATAAGAATAAGAACTGAGCAGAAAATAGAAACAGCTTACCAGAGATAGACTCCATTCTGATCGACATGAGTTGTAGCCAAAACATCCATATTTGGTGATAAAGACAAAGCAGTAATAGATACATCAACATGTATAGCATCAATCTGCCTTGCCAAAATCACGTCCCAAATCCTAAGAGTGCCATCCATACTGGAAGACAAAAGCCATTTTCCATCTTCACTAAAACAAATGTCTGTGATCCTATCAGTATGACCTTCAAACTTACGAACCATTTTTAATGCCACCACATCAAACATACGTATAACCAAATCATCCGTAACACTAGCCAAAAGACCTGAAATCAATCAAGAGGTTTTTCATCAATTCAATCATCATGTAAGCTACATAACTTTGTGTCATTGTGTGCGTATGATAAGAGAGAAAACATAAACTACCATTAGAACGATGGTAGATGATCTTAACCACTTTGCAACCAATTTCCCACCTTGATTTTAGTTCTCGTCCTTTAAAACTCCAAACCTTAAAAAAAAACACAACATTACTGAGATACACCAGAAACTGGCATTTTAATGTAGTATTTGGTATGATGGAATCAGACAAGGAATGGAATGGTTCATTCCAAAGAAATGGAGAAATAGAAAAGCATGTTTGTTTTGTGCAGTGGAATGGAATGTGATAGCTTCCATTTTCTTAGTTTGGTGCAATATAGCCCATTTTAGTTGAGGTACTTTTCAATGACACCGTTTTTTTTAACTTTTCATTATTACAACTATACCCTTTTGCAAAAAAGGAAACATATTATTTTGATGATAGCTTGTTTATGAAGCACATACCTTTACATCACCATTATACCCTGCACTGATCATTAGAGAATTTGTTGAATCACAGGCAACACCAACCACCTCTCCATCATGAGCACAGCTTCCTTTTTCAGACATGTCCACATAACATCCTCTGCTCATACCAGATTGAAGGTTAAATTTTTCAATCCAACCACCTGCTGTGCCTAGTATAGCAAAATTCCCACATGAACTGATAGTGCAAGCCTGCCATTGAAAAAAAAAAACATTGAGATATAATGTGGCTCAAGCCTATTTTACTAACAATACATTAATAATGTTGTAAATTATTGTAGTAAAACAAGTAATGATACAGACAAGTGACTTAGAACAATTACCTTCACCGGAGCTTGAATATCTGTGGTAGGTGTCAGGATATGCTCACCAAGAACAAAATTTTGTAGCCTCCAAACATATGCATGTGGAGTATCCATATGACATGTAACTACATTCGACCAATCTCGTTCCCTAATTTCAGCTATTACAATTAGCCCCAAAATGAAACATTAGATGACAAGTTTAAGTAAAAACATAAAAAACAAATTTATGAATCAACTGCGACAGAGCAATGTTAGATTTTGATAAGATAACATACCAACATCAAATGCAATCACAGGCTTCAATTTTATTTCTTCTTGCTGAAAAAAAAAACAATTAGAAATGTAAGATGAAAAACATGAATCTGAACAAAACTGTATTCGCTAAAAAATAGGTTTGCATGCTCATCATACCTTCACTTTAAGTTTCTTTGCTCTTTTTGTTACATGACGCTGAGAAAGCTCTCTACTTTGTTGATCCTGATTGAAACAATTATAGATACACATAAGATGAAAATTTATTAAAAAAATCAAGTGTTTAATTTCAATTACACTTTGATGTAAACTACAATAAAGGTAAAACCATACAGAACACATATTATATATATATGTGTGTGTGTGTGTATGCATGTGTGTATGTGTGTGTGCATATATATATAATACTGTGTGTGAGTGCGAAGATGGTATTCAACCTGAATAACAGAGAAGAGGCGGAATGCACGATCTTGACCAGCAGATAGAATGTGTCTCCCATTAGCATAGAACCTGCAAAGTCTCTCTATCAACATGACAGACAACATATATATAATATCTTTGGTTCATATATAATATATTAACATATACACATTTTGTATACATAAAAGAAAAACAAAAGTAATAGTTCAAAATTCACACTCCATACTGACTTTTTATAATACATTCATACTAACAGGTTTGGTGTGATTGTAAACATCTTATTACCTTATACAAAGAGGAGGTGCACTGTGACCACTTCGGAACTTTAACAAACGAGGATCACCATCCCTTGTATCAAAAATCCACATCTACAAAAGTACATATGAAGTAAGATCCAAGAAATGCAATGAAATCACAATCATAGAGATTTTTCATGTTTTTTACCTTTATAGAGTTGTCTGCAGATGTACTCATTAACACCGGTTCATTAGCAAAAAAATGCAATGAAATCACAGAGCTATCATGAGCATCTCTGATAACAGATTGTAGCCGCCTCTTTTCAAGATTCCATATGCTTATGACACCAGATGAACCTCCAGATGCTAAAAGAGGTTGACCATCTACAAAATAAAATGAAAATTGAGAAATATAATCATACATTCTTCAACAATCATCAGCCAATGAGATCACGACAGCTATACATGTTTCTTTTTCACTTAATCTTGACTGAATGACTTAATCGGTTAAGCCAATAAACTTGACTTAACGTATTCAGACACTAACCCTTTACCTATTTTCGCTTCTTTTTTCCTCCCAACTCCTCTCATGTTGAAATTGATGAACACTGAAACCTTTTTTTAAATGTAAGGGTTAAATGGTTATTTAGTCCCATTCAAACGGTTTATTCAGTCTAGAAATAATACAAATATACAATCCTTATGTACACAGCACTTCATCCAGACATAGATCATTATCCATTCAGACACTTTACCAATACAGGACTTAATGTGAGAAAAAAAAAATCCCCTTACCAGTTCTGAATGACAATGCTGTCACAGCACCTCGAGTAGTTTGACTAAAAGCAACCACTTCTTCATCATAACGAATATTGTGAACATGAATCTTTCCATCAGCACACCCAACAGCAATCACATCTAAAGCTGGAGAAGAAACACAACAGGATATAGATGAATTCCACCCTTTGAACTCATAAAGTTTTTTCTTTGTGCTGATGTTCCAAAGTTGAAGTGAACCAGCTTGACTTCCAAAAATCACCTGTTTACATGCTTTCAGTAAGTTAAGTTACTACTAGTGAAGAATATGTGATAAAGCAGCAACAAATGTTACCTTGTTTAAGTAAGTGTCTGGATGCATAATACAACTTGGAGTGAATTCATTATCTAGCAAAATATGTCCAACTGGAGAGGGATTTTCATCAGTTCCTTTGAAGGCCCATATGAAAACATTGCCTTCTACATCAACACTAAGGACGTGTTCTCCAAATAGAAGCAACAAGTTGACTTTAGCATTGTGTCTACTCCATGTAGCTACCTGTTTGTATGCACAATACCTTTCAGCTTAATTTGCATAATTGTACTTTTTCAAAACTATACTTTACAAGCATCAAACAAGACCTTTTTAACAATCTTAAGAAGTAAGAAGGATGTAAATTTAGAACCTGATGAGCACGCTTGAATACCCCAATATCGTTTCCATATGCAGCAAATGTATAGTCACGATATGATGCAAGAGCCCGAATCTTTTTTGCAAGTTGAGGACCTTTTAAAGAATATACAAACATTATAAACTGAATTCTTTTTAGTTTATTGATAGCAGATCACATATTAAAATTTTAAAATGTATAAGTAAACTTACCAACAAGAACCAGACTGAGCTTAGCACACTGTCAAGCAAAGAAGAGCACATGTTATGATTATTTAGATTAAACAAAACCCACAAAGAAAAAAAAATAATTAAATAAATACAGAATCAATACAACCACAAACAGCAGAATGGAGAAAAAAAACAGCTGTCTTACATTGTAAATCTGCCAGGATTTGCCAACACTGACTGTGACAAAGGTCTCTGTGCCCAATCTTTGAACAGAGAAAGGAACGCTGCTTGTGATGTATCCAATTGCACGAAAAGGTTCGAATATCCCCATTTATCTCTAAATCTTCTCCCAGTTGTTTGCAACGCTAAATGAAAAAATAATGGATGGAGGTGAAGAAAAAATTGGAGAAACTAGGGTTTTATTTATGTTTTCGGCTTCAGGGGTTTATGAGAAAAGATGAACCATGTGGTGTCTTTCTTAATTGAAAGAAATTAAAAGGGCTTTTGACATAAAAGTCCTTAAGTTTGGCAAACTTTGTTGGTTTTTGTTTCTGCAGTGATTTTTGGTTCATTAATGCCGAAAAATTACAACTTTTTTTTTTTCAGTTTTACCCTTTTGCGTATTTCTGGTTCATTAAAGCCCTTAAGTTTGGCAGAAATTTTCGGTTTTACCGGGTAAACCTGCAAAAAGGGTAAATTTGAATTTTTTTTTTTTTTTTTTGCAAACTTCTGGCTTTAGTGAACCAAAAACCGCTACAAGGGCAGAACTGAAAAAACTTGCCAAACTTCAGGACTTTTATGTCAAAATCCAAACAAATGTTGTTCAATAAAAAATCTTATCACGCCACTGTTAGTAACTTCAAATATATCTGGACAGTAAAGAAAAAAAGTTTGCATACAATTCTTACAATAAAGCGTGAATTTTAGGAAACATGTATTTGGACAAATTCAACAAACACCATACATACATATATTTGGAGAAGCTCAACAAACATCTCGGGGCATAAAGTTCACATCAATGAAAACCAAATAAAGCAGGAATAATAAACTTGGCACATTATAACTGGAAATAAAACATCTTTCCTTCAAAATTTCATGCAAACTTCCTACTCTCCTCTAAAAACTCTAGACTTTTCAAACACTACAGTAACTTAAATTTCTCCAAATTACACACAAGCTTTTCCCTAAGAGTACTAATTTCTTTCCTAGCTTCAATTAGGACCCAAGCCTAAAGTTCTATAACCTATATGGCCCAAATTGAAAACCCTCTTCCTCAAATCACTGATGAGTCATAACTCAGGAAAAAATTCGCACATTTAGCCAATAACTTATATGGCCCAAACTGAAAACCTAGTCAACATCAACTATAAATATGTATTGCAGCAATTCATAGTGAAATCAAAACTCAACAAGTAGTTGCCAAAATGCATACAAAAAGTAAAGTACTGAATAACAATATAACATAAAACTACATAGACCAAGCACGTGAGCATAACTCCCGGTAGAAGAAAAAAATCCACAATAACATATATTATATGAATTCAGATAAGTTACGAAGTATATGACAGCAAAATATACCAATGAATATTGATTTTCAGCAACATTTAACAATAATTTGAAGCAAGAAAATCCATTTTCTTCAATATTTTCGGATTTCCAATATCAAAAAACAAGAATTTCAGTTCATTAGAGAGTTTTCCAACAAGATTAATCCTCAATTTCATGTTAGAACTGAAAAAAAAAAAACGAAGAGAAAAGAAAAAAACCTGTTCGCTGCAATAGGAGAGGAGTTGTAGCTGTTCGCCTGGTCGCCTGCGATCGGAGAGGAGGGCGGCGGTGCTGATAAGAGGTGATGAACGACGAAGACGGTGCCGGAGCGAAGAGGGAGTGGCCGACGGTAGAGGCTTCGAGGGTGGGAAGTTTGGAAGAATGGAGGCGTAGATAGAAAACAAAGAAAGGCGTGTCTTTTTTTTTTTTAGGTTAAAGGTACTTCACAGACTTTAGAATAGGTTGCATGCCTGTGTGGTGAAGACAAAGAATGCTAGGGTTTAGGGTTTAGCGACGGAAATTCGAGTTTTTATCTCTCCAGACACCTAGCACGTCACTACCTCACCATATCAGAATCACTCTTGATTTTAAATAGGGTTATTGTCACTCTTCATCCGCGCGTACTTTTCATTTTGGTTTTAAAATGTCATTATTCTATTTTTTGCGTGTTATGGGTCCTTATACTTTCAAACTATCTGTTTAATAAGGGAATTTCCCCTTTTGTAGCCGGTTAAGAGAGTTTAGGTTGGCCATGTAAGCTCCAGCTTGGCATGTGGACCCACATTAATGTCCGATGCAACGAGGGTTTCGTCGGCCACTTCACTCAAATTCTTTCCCCTGATTTTCTCTCAAGAAGCATAAAACTTAGTTCATTCGATGGCTAATCCAATCGATTTCAACTCCGGAGCAATCACAATTTGGAGTAACCCAGCTGAACCTATCCCCAAATGTGGTTGTCGTTACCCTGCGGAGAAGAGAATGTCGTGGATGTTGCCCAATCCAGCTCGCAGGTTCTTCAACTATCCATTTTCGATTGTAAGAAATCTCACATAAGTTGATTGTAACTTTTATCAAATATAAATCAGAGTATCTTTGTTACAGTTAAACGGGATGAAATGCAACTACTTTGATTGGATTGATCCTGCTTGAAGGCCCGTATGCACACTACAAGACCATACTTAATGAAATGAGAAGGGATGCGGATAGAGATGCACATTGTTGTTCTGCAAGGATGGAGTCAAAGATGAAGGATATGTAGATTGTCATGATGGAGGAACAACAATTGTTTGCTACACATGTGTTGAAACTGACACAACAAATGGAGAAAGTTCGAATGAAGATCAAATTAGCAATACTTTTTGGATTTGTTTGTGGATGTGGGTTCATGATGATGGTTAATAGTTTCATGTAGGAAGTGTTGCAGTGTTGCTAGTGTATGCATAGATTTTTGGATGCTTTTGTATAGGGATGAGCAAAGGAACCGACCCGGCTGGAACCGGACCCGACCCGGGAACCGAACTTGGTGGAAAATAGGAACCGAACTGGATCGTCGGTTCTTCCGGTTCCGGTTCCTATCGGTTCTTGCCGTGTTTTCAATGTTGGAACCGGTCCTCGAAAAATAGCAACATACGGTTCCAGTTTTTGTCGGTTCTACCGGTTCCCGGTTCTAAAAATCGACAATAATATAACATTCGTCCCGGCCCGACCGGTTCCATCGGATTCCAGTTCCGGTACCGATTCCGGCCGGTTCTCCGATCTATATGCTCATCCTTACTTTTGTATAAGCTTTTGGGTAATGTATGTGAAGCTTTGTATAAGCTTTTGGGAATCTTTTATATGTAACAACACATGGGTAGGGTTTGGGAATCTTTTGTATGTAACACCACATGGGTAGAGTCATAACAATTGACACTTTTGTATGTATTTAACAACACATGGGTTCACTTATCAATGGAAGTCATTCCCACTTTAAGTACTTTTAATAGTTATGCATACAGTTATCAATGGATCACAGACAAAATACTTAAATTGTGCATATAGTTATCAACTGATTCCATTATAAAGGGTATAAAGTCTATAAATAGTACAATCCTTATGTATACAACACATTATCCAAATATACATCATTATCCATTCAGCCACTTTACCAATACAGGACTTGATGTGAGAAAAAAAAATCCCCTTACAAGTTTTGAATGACAATGTTGTCACGACACCTCGAGTAGTTTGACTAAAAGCAACCACTTCTTCATCATAACGAATATTGTGAACATGAATCTTTCCAACAGCACACCCAACAGCAATCACATCTAAAGCTGGAGAAGAAACACAACATGATATAGATGAATTCCACCCTTTGAACTCATAAAGTTTTTTCTTTATGCTGATGTTCCAAAGTTGAAGTGAGCCATCTTGACTTCCAAAAATCACTTGTTTACATGCTTTCAGTAAGTTACTACTAGTGAAGAATATGTGACAAAGCAGCAACAAATGTTACCTTGTTTAAGTAAGTGTCTGGATGCATAATACAACTTGGAGTGAATTCATTATCTAGCAAAATATTTCCAACTGGAAAGGGATTCTCATGGGTTCATTTGAAGGCCCATATGAAAACATTGCCTTCTACATCAACACTAAGAACATTTTCTCCAAATAGAAGCAACAAGTTGACTTTAGCATTGTGTCTACTCCATGTAGCCACATGTTTACACGCACAATACCTTTCAGCTTAATTTGCATAATTGTATTTTTCTCAAAACTATACTTTGGATGAATAAAACAAGATCTTTCTAACAATTTTAAGAAGTAAGAAGGATGTGAATTGAGAACCTGATGAGCACGCTTGAATACCCCACTATCATTTCCATATGCAACAAATGTATAGTCACGACATGAAGCAAGAGCCTGAATCTTTTTTGCAAGTTGAGGACCTTTAAAGAAAATCCAAATATTAGACTAACGGATCAAACCGCAGACAACAAAATAAAACTAAATGTGACTTCTTTTTAGTTTATTGATAGCAGAACATATATTAAAATTTTAAAATGTATAAGTAAACTTACCAATAAGAACCAGACTGAGCTTAGTACACTCTCAAGCAAAGAAGAACACATCTTATGTTTATTTAGATTAAACAAAACACACAAAAAAATATATATAGTCAATACAACAAAAACCAGCAAAATGGAGAAAAAAACAACTTTCTTACATTGTAAATTTGCCAGGATTTGCCAGCACTGACTGTGACAAAGGTCTCTGTGCCCAATCTTTGAACAGAGAAAAGAACATTAAGATAGGTGGGCCAATAGGTTTATATAAATTAAAAGGGATAATCATATTATTGGTTTTGTAAACATTTAGTCCCTGACTTTTTTTTGTCCACATTTTACCCTTGAACTTGTTGTTGTGTTTAAATTAAATCATTATTACCGGTTGCTTCCAGTTAAGCCGGTCATTTTGTGTTTTACTGGTTTACGTGGCAATTACGTGGCAGTTACCCTCTTCCACCCTCATTTATCAAGAAACCTCATTTACTAACGAAGATCAATTAGGGTTATATTGTCTTTATTCTCATAATTCGTTCTTGATCGGTTCCACATTACTCACATTTCTCTTCTCTCAAAACACCATTTTGATTCAATGGAGGAAAATCAAGCTTTTCCAAAAGTCGATGTACACTATAATGGTACTTTTGTGCCTAATCCGTTAGTGTATTTTGCTCCACAAGTACTACGTCTTAATGAAGATGCAAACAAGTTTGGTTTCTCCGATTTCATCAAATATGTTGAGAAGCTTATCGATTTTCAGTGCAAGCATGTGTATTACTGTATACCTGAAGTGAGATTGAGTGGGGGGCTCCAAACACTACAAAATGAATGTGACTACTCTGAGTTTCTTGAGGTTGCAAATGCTAACAGACATGTGGATGTGTATATTGACCATGATAATGAACCTCTATTTGAGTGGATTCAGAAAGAAGAACCAGACGATGAAGAACTTGTGTATTCAGAAGAAGATGTCGACTCTGTTTTGGCAGATGATGAGAACTATGAACATGAAGAGGATGAATGTGTTACATCAAGCAAAAGATTCTTCAAAAGAACCTATAATGATAAGTTTTTGAACAAGTTATGTCCAGTAGTTGTTGAAGATGAAGATGAACTAGGCAATGAACTTCCAGCTGTCTACCCTAGGCATGATGCTACTCAGGAATGGAGGAAGATGAAGCATGAACTAGGTATGAGATTCTCTTCTCCTGAAGAACTTAAGACATATCTCAGTAACTATGCAGTTGCACATGGATATGACTTGTATTATGAGAAGAATGACGAGGATAGGTTGCTTGTAAAGTGTTGTAAAGGAAAAAGATCACAATGCCCTTTTAGACTGTGGGCTTCCTGGATGAAAGATGAACAAACATTTCAAATAAAGTCCCTTAGAGAAGACCATAGTTGTTCAAGGGCATTCAAACTTGGGTCAATTGTTACCTATAAGTGGATAGGGAAACAATTTGTCACTGATATTCTGGAGTCCCCTAAAATGAGTCTGAGGAAGATAAAAGCTATGGTATCCAAGTTATTCAACATAAATGTTAGTGTTGGACAATGTAGGAATGCAAAAAGATTTGCATTGTGTGAAATTGAGGGTGATTTGAAGGATCATTATTCCAAGTTGTGGGATTATGGAGCTGAAATTAAAAGGGCCAACCCAGGATCTCATGTAGAAGTGTATGTGCAGCCCCAAAATAATTCTACTGTGGTGTTTGAAAGGTTTTATGTGAGTTTTAAAGGAGTGGTTGATGGATGGTTAGATGGGTGTAGGAAGGTAATTGGGATAGATGGATGTTTTCTGAAGGGCATCTGTAAAGGGGAGCTCCTCTCAGCAGTAGGCAGGGATGGAAACAATAACATTTACCCAATAGCCTGGGCAGTAGTAAATGTTGAGAACAAGAATACTTGGAAGTGGTTCTTGGACAATCTAATGGAAGACATAGATGAAGGGGGAAATGGTAATGGAATCACATTGATGTCAGATGGACACAAGGTACATATATACACTACTTTTCTTTTACAAAAATTACCTTTTACAAAAATTACCTTTTACATAAACTAACATTCCAAATCAATGCATGGTATAATGGAGGTTGTGAAAGAAAGATGTCCAGAAGTTGAGCATAGGTTGTGTGCTAGGCACATCCTTGCTAACTTCCATAAAAAGTTTAAGGGTGAGTGCTACATTAAACCTTTTTGGAGGGCTATAAAGGCAACTACAATTCCAAAATTTGAACTTGCAATGGAAGAAATCAAGAGCTTTGATGTAGGGGCATATGATTATCTCATTAAAAGGAACCCCAACTGCTGGTCAAGGGCTTTTTTTAAGGTTGGAATGGGATGTGATGCAATGGAAAATGGTGTGTCTGAGAGCTTCAATGCTGCTATTGAAGAAGCTAGAAAGAAGCCATTGATCACTATGCTGGAGGACATAATGGTATTTGTGATGGAGAGATTGTACATGCAGAAAGGGAAAGGATTGGGCTGGGATTTGGCAATTTGTCCAACTATCAGAAGTAAACTTGGTAAACTAAAGAAGTTGAGAAGGTTAGTTGTTACAAACACTTTTACTTACTTTTTTGTCTGAGCTAGTGGTTGACTAATTTTTTGAATTGACAGATTCTGGGCATCATATGTTAGTGGATACAAGCAGTTTGAAGTTGTGCAATGTAATGAAAGGTATGGTGTTGACTTGGAGAAGAGAGAATGTGGATGCAGAGGTTGGCAATTGACAGGAATTCCTTGTGTACATGCCATATGTGCCATATCTTCTTTGAATCTTGATTCAGAGGAATATGTTGCAGAGTGGTTTACTAAATCTGCATTTCTTAGGGCCTATGAGTACACCATACATCCCCTGAATGATAGTTCCTTGTGGCCCCACATGCCTGATGTTCACCAGATACTACCTCCAATTAGGAGGAGGTTACCTGGTAGGCCATGTGTGAAAAGAAAAAGAGACCAAGCAGAAAATGAACTCAGTGGGAATACAAGGCATACTATAAGCAGGGCAGGTGTTCAACACAGATGCAAAATTTGTAATGAAACTGGACACAACAAAACTACATGTCCAGTGAGGGGTCCTTCTGAAGCAGGTCCAAGTAAAGCAAGAAAGAAGAGTAATGCAAAAAATTGTCCTTCACAAGCAGGTCCAAGCACTCCAGCTCCAAGTGCTCCAACACCTGTCAATCAAGATCCTTTGACTCAAGAGCATGTCCCTATGAATCAAGAGCTTGTCATTCAAGAGCTTGTCCCTGTGAATCAATAGCTTGTCATTCAAGAGCATGTCCCTGTGAATCAAGAGCTTGTCATTCAAGAGAATGTCCCTGTGAATCAAGAGCATGTGAATGAAGATCCTATGAATCAAGTTCCTGTGAATGAAGATCCTGTGAATCAAGTTCCTGTGAATCAAGTGCCTGTGAATCTTGGTGTTAGGGTGCCTAGGAGACTTGGTGTTAGAGCAAGGAAGCCTTCAAAGAGAATCAACAAGGTACAAATCAGGAAGCAGGTTTTCAGAAAGGATGGCAAAGGAGTGACTGAGGACAACCCAGTTACTTTAGATTTAGATTGATTAGGGTTACTTGTTTTCTTTTGCTTTGGAAGTATGTAATAGTACACTATGTATGGTGACTTTCTTTTGTTAATTGGGCCAACTTTTGATGTAATTGATAGTACTACCCTTGCTTGTAACCTAGCAACTTTTTATGGTCTTTAAGTAAATGGAATCGGATATGGTATCCTATGTCAATTGTATTTTGTCTTTTTCAATCTTTATTGGTATTAATGCATTAGTTTATTAAGAAGGTCGTAATGGGAATCATATGTCAGTTGTGTACTGGGAATCATATTCCCTATTTGTTTCTATCAATGTCCTTGTCTTTTGGCTGTTGAAATTGCAGCCAAATTCAATGTAAATTACAATCAAATGTTCACCATGTAACACTTCATTCAGTATGCAAACTCCATTCAATACATTTAATATAAACTATTCAGTACATTCCATATAAACCATTCAATCCCTACATTCAAAATACCACAATTCAATACATCATACAAAACTCTATTCAAACTGTTTTCATATAATATTACAACTGATTTCAACCCTATAACTATGTGCTTTATTCTTCAGCTCTTGAACTTCTTTCTTCAAACATGCAACATCCTCTTTAACTGCTTCAAGTTCTTGTTTTAAATCTGGATTCCCAGTCACAGGTTCATCAATCCATTCCCAATACTTACACTTCTTACCTGGTTTCTTTGAATTCAAATATAAAAATTGTAAGAACCTCAAAATCTTTATTTATTAGAAGGAAAATCAAAAGTACAAAGGGAAATCAAGATCGACATACCAGAGAATTAGGGAAAACTTTGAACTTTTTGTTAGGGTTGTCTTTAGTCTTGGATGTGCATATTCGAACTGGGAGTTGACAATCACATAGCTCCTCTTTCTTTGCGATGGAACCAGATGAACTGGGAGTCGACATCTTCTTCTTCGATTTTGGGTATGGGTTCGAATGTTTTTTGATTGAAGTTAGGGTTAGGCATCGTATTATAATCAACAGAACTAAGAGATGATCCACGTAGGAGTGTTTTCTTTTAATGAGTGTCCACATAGGTAGCCATGTCAGCAAATATGGAAGCAACCGGTAATAATGATTTAATTTAAACACAACAACAAGTTCAAGGGTAAAATGTGGACAAAAAAAGTCAGAGACTAAATGTGTACAAAACCAATAATATGTTACCCTTTCAAGTCATTATCCCAAATTAAAAATATATATATGGAAAGGAAGAATCAATCTTGCAGGCGGTAAACACAATTACACAAAACATAGCAAATTGTTTCATCGCTCCAACACATATTCTCTGAGTAATCGAAAATCAACTATGCTAATGTTTTCTACTTCCATTCCATTATACTAATCTACATATTCTATTATCTTCTCAAGTCTGAAACTATAAACTCTTATAGTCTGAAGTATGAACTTTGGTCATACTTATTATTTATATGTTTTCTATTAAGTTGTTAGCTGTTAACTTGTGTTACTTAACTGTTAAGTCATACACATAATTCATAAGTTATTTGTTATCATGTATGATAGTTTAGACGAAACTAGTTATAACTTATCAGTACTTAGGATTTAACATGACACTACTATGGTTTTATGAGATTTTTAAGTATTTATAAGTATTTCCATATTTTTTTCAATTTAGAGCACATCGTGTACTCTAGGCGAGCGCTTTTGCTTAGCGCATCAGTCCCAAGGGCTTTAGCGCTATAGGACGCTTTACGCTTTTTAAAACCAAGCTTGATACAGATATGATAACATAATAAACTTCCAATATTGTAATTACTAGTTAATGTGCATAAAAATGGGCATATAGCCACTCTAGTAAGCCACATATGAAGACTTGGATATTCACAAAATCAATCATGACCAATGGCAGAGCTAGACCAAAAGTCAACAAGAGTCTACTATATATAGATAATATAATAAAATAAATAAAAATACATGTAATATACTACGAAACAAGTGAAAACTAATAAAAATATACCAACAAAAAAATTATATGTAATATACTAACACAATCTAATTAAAATATAGTAACAAACAAGTGAAAACTAATCAAAATAGTCTAATACAGAATCTGTAACACAAAAGTTCCGCTTACACTTTTATTTAACACAATTATGTATCCTTTGAAGGAGACATAAATTAATATTTTTTATGGTCCTTCAACAACATATATCATGGTTCATTGATATAACCTAAATCAAACTAATAAAAAATTAAGAATATAAAGCACACAAGTCAGACCTAATAGAAAATTAAGACTATTAACACTCCAACATCAAAAAACCTATCAAACTGATTAAAAGGTAACAACCAGATTCTATAACAAACCAAAACAATTTCAAAGTTCTGACACTAATCAATATCTCAAAACTAAAATTTATTGCTAGAAAGTTCAAAAGAAAAAATAATAACAGGGAACAGTGATCACACACACACACACACATACAAAGCCACTCAGGCGAAGGCGACATCGTCACTCACTCAAGTCTCCGGCGAAGACAATTGCACAGTGGAGTGTGATTTTGGGTGGCTAGGTTAGAGAGTCATAAGAGAAGTAATATTTTACCTTGAACAACCTTAGTACCAAGAAGATCAGGACAATACCGAGCAGATGATACGTGAATAATGATGAGGGATGAAAGGAAAAGAGCATTAAGACGACGATATGAAAAAGTATTTCTCGGGTTTAGGGTTTATTGAGGGAAGTTCCAGTTTTTATCTGTCAAAACATCCTTACGTTGTCCAACAGTGTGTCATGTGTTGCGAGTTGGGTAAATACACAATCGTAACATATTTTTGTTTGGTTTGAGAGTACACCGCAAAATTGGTCCTAGAGCATCTAAAATCTTTACAATTTGCTTTAGCGTAGAGGCGCAAATCGTCCAATTGAACTAAATGATAGTTGGTTTATTGGATTCGGTCTATTTGGTTTCCGATTAATTCGGTTTAATTAACCGAATAAAAATGTTTTATTTAAAATTTCATTATTTTTTTAAATTGAAATTTTTGAATAAAATATTCAATTAATATATATTTTTATATTTTATATTTATCAATTAATATTTTATATTTATATATATATATATATATATATATATATATATATATATATATATATATTGGTTATTAAAAAGATTTTCATAACTTATTATTTAGTTATTAATCATTTATAAATTTACAATGATTTTATATTTTTTATTAAAAAGTAACAACTAATAATCAAATGGCCCAGACATATCCGTTAACCTTCGTTTTTTTTTTCAACTTCATATACTATTAAAGTTGTATTAATTTACTGTACAACCTCGTATTAAATTATAAAATTAAAATATAATATGTTTATGTATACTCTGTTTTCTAATTGAGTAAAGTCTACTAAGTTTTTTTCTTTTTTTGCTTTTAGTTTAATAATTATTTTTACATGCAAAATTTTATTTGATTTAACCCGTAATCAAACCGGATAAACCTTCACCGAATAAACCAAAACTGATTAAATCAAATTTTATTTGGTTTGATTACGGTTAGTTTTAAGATATAAAAAACAATTAAATAGAACCGATTAAATTGAAATCGATAAAACCAACCGAATAACACACATAAATTTAGAGGTTTAATTTTTTATGGTTGGTCCATGAAAAAGGCTAAAAGGGTTGTCTCCCCTTTTAGTTTAGTTTTTTAAAAATTTTCGAACATTTTTTTATTGCTTAAATATTTATAAAATAAAGAAGTAGTTCATCCCACCCTATTTATTTTGGACATAATGTCCAATGTTATTAATTGTTTTAGTAATATTTCTATTAATAGCAGTGTCATTTTGGGTTTGCCTCATGACCAAGTAGCATGAGGGAAAAGAGATTAATAATGTGTTAATTTATTAAGAAAATAGTAAAGTCATTAGAAATTATTTTGATAATTAATTAAAATGATTTAATTAATTAAGGTAGGTGAATATTAATTAATTTAAGGGATTGATTGGAATATTTTAGACCCTCTTGGAGATGTATGGGGGACGATTTGCATATCCCTTCAATGGGGATATGGCAGGTTTAATTCAAATAAGGATAAACCCTAAAGTTTATATCATTCTGGAATATTCTTTGCATAACTATAAATAGACTGTTAAGGTGAACCCTATAGCTCGCTATTCATTTTGTCAAAATCGTCTAACCTCTCTCTCTCTCTCTCTCTCTCTCTCTCTCTCTCCTTGGACGAAAACCACACCCTCTCTCCTAGGGTTTGGTGATTTTCGAATAAATTTTGGCTTGGGTTAAACCCTTTTTTGCTTTTGGTGTTATGAATCTGATTCCATTAGAGGGTGCTCTTTTGGATCTTGCATCTTTGCAACAAGTTGCACAACGAAGTTGTGAAAAAAAATAAGGAAATTTATTTAAAAAAAATTGAATTAAAAAAAGTAAAACAAGGGGCCGAAAATGTAAAAAGAAAAAAAATGGAGAGACTAACATTGTAATATTTCAAATGGTCCTTGTGTAAAATTTCACAAATTTTCATTAAGAAAGTTTCACAAAATGACATAAATAGTCCTTGTAACACTCCAAAAATCACAATAAATTTGAAAATTTCAAAATAAACCATTAATCAACATTGTTTACAAAAAGGTCATTGTTTCAAAATCATTATTTCCAAATCAGAATTTTTCCCAAGACCTAGTGACATAAGATGTGCACTGTCACGCCTTTGCTTTCCCACGATCATGAGAAGTACGTGAAACAGTACACTAAAAACTATAAGCCAAAGCTTAGTGAGTTCCCCCAAAGTACCAACACACACATACATATAACAACATATATATTGGGTCCACAACTAAAAAGACTGGATTGCCCCTGAGCGCACAATATGAGTCTGGCATGCCAATCGGGCTCTCAACCAATATCTGGATTGCTCCCGAGCCCACAGTATGAGTCTGGCATGCCAATCGGGCCCTCAGCTCATATCTGGATTGCTCCCGGGTTTGTCGGCTACCGCATAAAGCAGT